TTGCTAAAGACCCACAGACACAAACTCCTACAGCAGCACATGGCTATAACCTAGTGCTTCATCAACAGCCAAGAACCCTACACTAACTGGCCACAGCTTCCAGCAGACCTAGTGCCTCAGTACTGCGTGTGGAAGCCAGGCACCAGAACTGCAGAGGCTGTTAGCCGTCAGATCACCTTCTTTGTTGCTGTAATTGAGTCAGGTCCAGCACCAGGAACCTGGCAGCTGCTGCTCAGGAAGTCTGCTCCGCACTGCCCATTACCTCTGCTCAGCTCAGGTCCCCACCCAGGGCTTCCAACCAGATCACCAAGCCACACTAAAAATAGCCAGCTCACAAAACCAGCTCTTGGCTCTAGCCACTCCACCCTCAAAGTACAGAGACTAACTATACTGCCTTCTGCAAACAAAAGGAGAATTCACTCCTCCGTCTATTTATAAGCTGCTTATTCACAGCTTGCAAGCACAAATTCTTTTCAGATGAGGAGCTTGGGGGAAGAGATTATGCTTTTTCTGGTTCCATGTTGCACAGAGCCCAGCACCCAACCTGGTCATTCCTTCACCATCTGAGGTTTTTCTCTTTCTTTCAGCTCTCACATTTAGTCTTCTGCCTATCTTGCCCACCGACATGCAGAGCATGATGCAATCCCACTCTCGTGCCACACTGAGAATGCAGGTTTGCTGGCAGAGTCAGGCATGTGCCAGGGATATTCTGGTTCAACTAGTATAAAGCACCTTTATATTAATATAAAATGTTTATATCTTCTTTACTCCGCTTCTGACTCATAGCATATCTCCAGGACAAAAGGAATCACTGGACACTTTGTCTAGGCAAGCGTTCCCAGCTCTTGGCTACGCTGTAAGAGCAGCAATAATGAGAACAACAGTGGAAAATGTCTGGCTAAAGACTAGGTTAAAAATCTCCCTGCCTTGCTGCCCAGCCCCACGCAACTGCCTCACTTTAGTAAGAGCTCCCACTGCTGCTGCCTGGCTCCTGGCAGCTTCTCTGACATTTCTATCATAAGCCTGGAGAAGTCTTCGAAATCCACCACAAAATAAGCAATGCATTAGTCCACCTTCCACAATTGGCTTAGTGAGTTGCCTTAGTGAGTTGATCAACATACTAAATACCCAGAAGCCAAAGATACACCTGCTAGACAACTCTGTGTAACTTATTAAAAAGACTTTATTAAAAATTTCCTGTCCAAAAGCGCAAAAATAAGTATCAGTAGCATTAAAGTGATGGATGTCTCTGTGATATTTGTCCATACTTACCAACAGGATCTTCGGCTAGGCTAACAGCTCTGCATTTCAATTCCCAGAAAGACTGGGACAGCAAAACCTAGAAACTTTCAGCTGACAGACCTGGAGAAGTACTGAGCCTTCAGCACAGCAGATGGTGTGAAGGCAAATGTGCTGGTTTTAAAGCCAGCCAGCTCCATCAACAATGAATAAGTGGCAATGCCGCCTTCAGCAGTCCACCTGCACCTCTGGGTGGCCAGTCTGTGCTGAAGCTATCATTACAGCACTTCAAGAGGCGCCACAAAGATACTGGCTCATCACTACCCCACCCACGCCAACTCTTGGCCAAATCCAGCCTGGTCTTCCTGGAGGTGGGAGAGCGGTGTGGGACCAGCTGAGCACACCGCATCCCCTCAGCCAGCTCCCTGTGATGGGCTGCCTGCAGGATGAGCATTCTGGTAACAGAGCTCCTCCTTTCCAAGCCGGGAAAAGGCTGAGATCCAGGAGGACTGCCTGGAGAAGTCTTTCTTTCCCTTTGTAGGTAAGCAGCTAGATAGGTATGGCTATTTTTTACAGCAGCACTCAGCGGAGAAAGGAGTTTGGAGACTTTTGGCCAGCTCACACTGGGAACAGAAAGTGAGTAGAGCTACCAGTAAAAGCCACTGCTATGGTGCATCTCTCAGGATGGGACTATCCAGGAGGGACTCCTGAGGGCTCTTACAGCATCTGTCAGAGAAACACGTGGATGCACCACAACACATCTCTCCTGCACGACCACATCTCTGATGGGGCGAGTTCAATTTCTGCAGGAAAGGAGCTGTGTCACTGGCTTAGCAAACCCTCACAAAGCCTAGGTCAGACCTGAGCAGCAATGAGATCCCGCTGCTCCGTGTCACGAAACACCCCAAAGGGCACCTCGGCTCTCCAGGAGGGCAGGGCAGGGAAACATGCCAAAACCAACCCCAAGGGAAGAGTTTCATGACTAAAGAAAGACTAAAGCAAGTCTTGTTTGCTATGTGCTCCAGAAAGGTATTTGGCAGATAACATCTGACTGCACAGAGCACAAGCCTGCTTCCTTGCTTATTTTAGCATACTATCTCTAACCTGCAGTCAAGTGTTTTCGGACGGGTTTATCCATCTCTATTCTTACCACCTCCTGATACTCTTTTTGCCACATGAAACCACAAACTAGCAAGAAAGTCAGCTGTGGGAGCTGGCAAAACACATCCCTTGCAAAAACACAAGTCAATCTCTTGCTTCTTTAATCCCAAGGTGACAGTGCAGCTGGGCTTATCCTCTTTATGCCTCCTACTAAAAAAATCACGATTTTTCCCTTCAGTTCTGCACTTTTGGTTGGCATATTTTAATTAAGTGGAGCCAAGAGTCCAGAAAACCACTCTTAATTTTTTTTCCTCTATTTATATGCAATTCTTTCACATTTTGACAGCTACCTGTTCACAGCTGGCCTCAACTTCTGACTAAGAAGTCTGGGCAGTCATGACGCTCTGCTTGATCAGGCTTTTGCACCAGAAGATAAGAAAAAAACTGAAACAGTGGGACACGATTAACACAAGAGCCAAAAGGTGGCTCAGAAAGGTAGCCATTTACCTTTTGTAAATAATTTGATTTCAGGTATTGAGGGAGTGGATATGGACTGTTAAGCGTTGATCAAGAATTTACAATTCCAAGTTCAAAAAGCAGTACAATAGGCCCTGCTGAGTGCACAAACACCACCAGTCCTGTTCCACTTTCACACATGACCAGTCAAAAATCTAATACTGGACCCATATAGATCAATAGCCACTCCACGATAGTTTAGTAAGGCCAACTACAATATTTTGTTTCTACCCTGCTTTGATCCTATCTGTCAAAGAAGCCTTTGAAAAACATAACTATAGGAGCCTTTACAGGGTTAGCAGAGCTCAGAACCTTTAATATCTGCACATCAGTTTGGAAAGAAGGAGCAAATGCAGTGCCATGGAGGACCTAAAACCAATAGTGCCTTATGCAGAGTTTTCTGGCCAAGTCATAGAGGTTTTTTTCCCATTTAAAATTATCCTGGAACAGGGAAGAGTAAACCTCTGCCCCGAGTTACATGACAAGCAGATTTTTAATCAATTAAAACACTGCATGGATTTTAGTTTCAGCAACTACTCCACAGGCTAGAAGAGAAGTAAATTTCTCCCACTATATTCATTTACGCTCCTCAGGCTGGAGAGAGCCAGGTATATTTGACCTGTAGCATACACTCTCCATTCATACTGGCAGGCAACGAATATAACTTCAGTTAAACAGAGAATATGCTACACAGCCTCAGCATGCACTCAGACACTGTGAAGTCAAAGAATTGTGCGTGTATCCCCCACCCCTGCCCTTGCTAAGGTAATCAAAGCAGTAAATTATCCCTAGGGGCTCTGTCAAATCAAGTTTCAAAGTTGGTCATTTCCCTGCGCAAGAACACAGGCTTAGCTTAAAACCAAAACAAAACATAAAAGTATGCACATTCTCCCCACTCTCCTAAGACTCTAAAATTGGTGTGTGCTGCTTAAAATAAAAAAAAAAAAAAAAAAAAAAAAAAAGGCAAAGCATCCTGCATTATCTGTGCTTCTCACATCATGTCAGAATAAAAAGGCTATACTGTACTAGTTCTACCCAAAACTGCATCAAGAGTACTTCACTAGTTCAGAAAGAGAATTGTGTCTGCACAGCTTGCCAGAGCTGCTGACAAGAGTCCCAGCAAGCAGGGAAAAGAAATGGTTACACATGTGCCCACACTCCCCATCCTCAGCACCGAAATGCTGACCACCCCCCCACACCCCCCCCCCTCCGCCTCCCAGTGACAAGTAACAACTTGCATTGTCATCCACTTGCTGAATTTTCAAAGAGAAATGTTCTTTTCACATTGTTTGGCTGAGATACCCCGCCAGCTATTTTGTTATCTCTGCTCCATCCCTTCCCTTTAAAACCTCCCAGCTTGCGATGGCAACAGAGAGTTTAAACCAGAGCAAGGCTGCGGTTGTGTGGAGCCATTCCACACCACCCTGCTATCCGCTGCGCCCTCGTTTGCACCCACACGCCAGCATTTATCTCACGCTCTGGCTGGAAGCTCCTGGGTGCAAGGGCTGTCTTTCTACCTCGCTGTTTGTACAGCACATAGCACAGAGGCCTTCACACGCTGATAGGCTTCAGGTGTTTTAACAGTACAAACAGGAGTTGTGCAATGCCCTGGGGATTTCAAACAGCTGGTCTCTCTCAGTCCCTGCCTCTCCTACCAATTCTGCAAATGAGCAGTGAATATTTGTTTGTGCAAGCCGTACCAATGCGCGAGGAGATCAGACCTTGCTTCAGCCAGAAAGCATTCCTCGCAGTTAAGGTCCTTGGAAATCCCCTTGCGTGCTTTAGTAAATCACACAGCGATAATGCCCTGAATCTATAAATTCATCACTGGCATCATCAACTGAGGCTTGTATTTTAGAGGTGCACAAAATATCCAGCCCTCTCTCCACTACAGAAGTCTGATTTGGCTTGGAAAAGGAAATTTAACCATCTAAGTGATCCACCCAGAAAAGCTTTTGGAGTGGGGAAGCAGTCAGAATAAGAGTAAAATTCATTATACTCTTCACCTTTGCTGTTTTCAACAAAAGTCCTTGCTACACGAAGCTGCTCTCTAGCCTGCACCAATGATGGATCATCTCATAGAGCCTCCCAGTGCCTGCTTTTTGCTCATCTCCATCTCCTCTTCACCCACTCTTGGGGCTCACCTGTAGTCATGCGTGAGGGTGACACAAGACTCTTCCTTCCTCAGCCTGGCCAGGAGTGCTCCACCCTCCAGCTGCAGCCTGACCAGCCGTGCATCTTCAAGAACGTTCTTCATCAACTGCTTGTAATTCCTCAGCAGCACAGCTGCCTCCTGGGGGGATCGCAAGAGTGAGACGGGCAGTTACTGCAACCTACAGGTAATGAGGGAACAGGCAAAAAGCAGCACCCAACCCAAAACACACAAACTCCATCTTGCCCTGGCTCACCCTAGGAAAGAGGGAGCTTGGTTCCCACAGCTGTTTCCTCAAGCCTGCCAAGTCCAAAGTGATAAAGAGCGCTCCTTACACTCTCGATACATTCCTCACCAGGCTAAAATTGAAACCCAATTCCTATCATTGTCCATACTCCATTTGTTGGGAATAGAAAGAATAAGATTTCCACCCTAATTTTGCACTCACAGCTAGCTCCTACTGTTCTTTGAGCCTGGATCTGCACAGCTCCAAGTTGTGGGACAAGATGCACATGAAGGTTTGTGGATATACACATGTATGCAGGAAGGCCCAGAGGGGCCACTTCCATTGCTTTCCTGTTGGGACCCTCAGTGCAGAGCTGGCAGCAACCTCCTACCATGTCAGGGGTACAGCAGCTTCTCAAGAGTGGGGGAAGACGTTTGCAACAACATAGGCTCAATCTTTGTACCCTCTTCTTCTTGCCCACTTCCAAACTTCTCTTCTGGAGGCAGCAAAGCTGGAACCACAGCACAGCCTTGGCCTGGTGAACACTATGTTGTCACCTAACTTTACTCCAGGTCATTCAAGCCAACCTGGAGTAGCACAGCTTGAGGCAGCTGCTCAGTACTAGAGACACAAAAGCTCGTACCAGCTACAGAGCTGTGGAGCTGCTCGGAACGCGCTCCAGAGCTGGAGCAAGCACCCATCAGCAACACGCACCGCTGAAGAGGGGATCTCCTGGGTGATGCTGAGGGATCAGAGAACCAGCTTCTACACTCAGTGGAGCCTCTACCACTCCATTTGGACTACCTTCTGCCAGTCCCACTGCCCTGACAGCTCCGCAGTGACACACAGCATTCAGAATATACCCTGTTACTACAGCTTGCAAATTCAAAGCTACAGCTTTTCTGCAGCTAGCCAGCCTCCTGCTCTCTTCTGTCTCAGGCCCACCTCGGATACAAGGTGAGGGACATGCTTACCTCAGCTCTTTCTGGTAATTTTCCAGGTTCCACCTTATGAATAGCTCCCTGGAGGAAGGCACAAGCACCCTGGCAGCCTTGTAGCAAATGTTCCAGTTTCTACAAGAAGAAAAAAGAACCAAGGCAGACATTATTGTCTCATGGCTGAAAGGAAAGCTATCTTTTCAGCTTGCAGGAGGGTAAAAGTACAGAAATCAAGAGAAGATCAAGCACATTAATGCAAGGGTTCAATTATACCATTCAGTGGGGCTGTATTAGCAAAGAAAGGCCCGTCAGAAGGCTTCAGATGCATCATGCTATACCAAGGCCTCTATGCAGACCTTCTAAACTTACATACTCATGGCTTGTATGGGTCATGCTTTTCAGAAAAGAAAATCAGTCCACTAATACCCCACATTCTTCTCCTACTATTAGCATTTCTTGTAACTTCCCACTAAGATGAATCACTATGCATGAATTTTGGAGGAACAAAACATAGAACAAGTACTTGGAATTTCTCTAAATAATTTCTCTTCATATTAAAAGCAGCGTAAATTAAATATTAGAAAACTGAAAAGCTCCCACGATTAAGCACCTTAAACTAACAAAAAATCTGAAATCTCTCTTCAGGGTGCAACAGAAAAAAAAAAAAAAACAAAAAACAAAAACAAACCAAAAACCCACCAAAACTCCAACATTTCACAGGTGTACATGAGACAGTACTTTTTAGAAAAGTCAGTGATATAAAGCCTAAATCCTATCAGATGCCACACTCTAGCTGCTGAAATCAGAGAGGGGAGAAACAGCTATTCCAAAACAACCTTGCTCAAAACAAAACAAAAAAGCAGCTGTTTGAATCTTTACTGAATTGAACTCCCTCCACCCTGGAGTGCTGGAACAGCCCCAGCAGTCACAGATTAGCAGGCAGGATGCAGGTGAGATCATCCAGACAGGAAATAAATGCTGTTTGCCACATAGCTGCAGATCTAAAGGGGTTGAGCATATGGGTCATTATCACAGACAGTACATCGTATAAATAGGCAACCCGTGTAGATCAATTCCTATACTACCTCCCTTTGTTAACATTTTGCACATTAAGATGCAAAACACAAACAAGAAATAGTCTGATATTATGCTCCTTCCTTCAAGAATTTTAATTCTGCACAGAGAGAGCACCTCAGCTGTCAAGCTTTCCTCAAGTCTGTTCAGAAAACTCATCCATAACCTCTTGCAAAGCTTCTCTGCTTTCTCACTGCCAAACAAACCTCAAATTCGATCACAGGCACCAAGATTAGGCTTCTGTACCTCTACTGGATGAGCACAGGTTCACATTAGCACTTCTAGAGGCAAGTTTAAAAAAACAGGTTCTAAAATAAGTTGGAACAGCTAAGTTACCACATGTCAAATACTAAGCCTAACTGCTGAAGCTTGCCCCAGCAACACAGCGGTATTATCAATGATACCTTAACCTGCTTGAAATGCTGCAGGGCACCACGCAGCACTCTAGGCCATGAGGTCAGAGCCAAAAGACCACTGAACCTTTTGGAAGCAGAGGTGGTGGTCCTGTCAGCCACCAGGGTGAGCAAATCAAACGCAACATGAAGACAGCCAGTTTGTGTGCAGATTTACAGAGACTTAATCCTGTCTAGTCTCAGCATGCCAAATACCTCTCAATAGAGCTTGTAAAGATTCAACAAGAACATGACCCACAGGACTTATGCTCCCCCCACAGCATGAGTGTACACGTGTGGGTACTGGTGACAGAGGTGCTACTTTTGCAGAGTTCTGGCAGTCTTGCACATACCCTGCTGCATGGCCAACACCACCTGCAGTCCTGTCACAGATCAGTGTGTGCTGCGTTGGTGGCTACAGCACTCCGTATCGGTGCCTGCAGGACCCTTTGCCAGTGCTACCTTCTTTAAAACTTTGCATGCTGCAGTTTCAGCCCTTCTATCTCTGAGGCAACCTGGGTCAGTTCAAACATTTCCACAGAGGGGCCAGCCTCCCTGTGCCCTGGGCTGTCTCTAATCCATCCCTGGGTACAGTTCACTGTAGATCCCTTGAGCCACGACTCTAGAATTCTAGAGAAAAGTGCAAAGGTCAGACAGGACCATGGTAGCGAGGCAAACTCAAAGCAGTCAAACAGGGAGAAGGAACGTATTATTGCTGGTACTGCCTTCTACTGTTACCTTGGTCCTATGACTCACTGAACAGAATCTGCATGGGGAAGCTTTTGTTTCCTCACCTCACATGGCCAGCTCTCAAGCAGGAATACAATGCTCCCACTGGGTTAACCTTCTCTGTATTTTTAGCTTTGATGCTTTCTAAAGGGTTCTTGATAACAACTTTGGTAAATAAGTCAGTTACATCTAAAGGAAGAAAAAGATGTTCCTAGAAGTATCTGAACTAATTATCAGGAACTTTCAAGTTTCATTCCTACAAGGACTGCAATGCAGTTTTCACTAAGGAGCTCTTAGCTTGGTCTGGGGATACTCCTCCAAAACCAACAAGATTTAACTATTTTGATTAAGCACAAGTTCTTGATTGTTAGTTCAAAGGCAACATGATACTAACACCTTCTCCAGAGATTAGTTTAAGAAGTGTCTGCCCTTAAGCCTCTGAGTATAACTGAGGTGCCACTGTATATCACAACAAAACACGATTCTGTTTCAGATTTTACCATATTTTGAAGGGAAGGAAGAATTAGTGTAATTCAAACAGCTGAGTTAAAAACTAAAATTTTAGTTCCTGCGGTCATGCCAACAGGCTGCAGTGTGCATCCATTTTATGGAGACAGTATTAGTATTCTTTTGATAACAGAAATTCATTTGCATAGCTATTACAGGAACCATTGTCTTTTAATGCTTGTAGGTCCAGCTGTTGACAGGCTCCTCTTGCTTCAGCTCCATTACCATGCCATTTCTTCTCTCAGATACCAAAGACTACAAGACATGCTACTCACCATGCGGAAGCTTAACCAGTCCCGGTGGCAATAAGGGAAGGTCCCATCCAGTTCTAGGGGCAGCTGTGAGCTGTCTATGTGCTTATGGAGGGATTTCATGGAGGTGAGAAGTTCAAACTGCATAGGAATAGAAGAAATAAAAGCACATTTGCATTAGGGTGTGAGTATTGGAGGAGGAAGGGGGAAGGTTAACAAAAGACAGCATCTTTTATTTCTTTATCTATCTTGCATAGAAACAAGGCACACCAGTGTATATCTGCAGTATGACTACAATATGAGAGGGAAGAAAAAAATCAATTCAATCTTAGAGCAGCTTGCTGTACAGCTTAGTGGGCGAACCCTGTGAGAATGCAGGCCACAACACGCTGTTTCACCATGCAGAACATCTGTGATGGAAGTCTGGCAGCAGTCAGCCTTCTCCAGAGCCAGCACCTCCTCGTACAAGCAGAGTGACTCCCTCATAGGTTCCCACATTGTGCTGTAATTTGCACTTGTTTGGAGAGTCTCAGAGGTTAAATCCAGCCCCCAGCTTCCCATCTCACTTCCTGGAAAAACAGGCTAACTGACTGCCTCTGCCCTACTCCCAGCTCTCCAATCATCACAGCAGCTATTTGCTCCAAGTGTTTCCTGGATCTTGACACCAATATCCTACAGACTGGCAGTATGCAAGTTCTCAGAGCATTTTTATACTCACCAGAGAAATAGACGAGTGCTCCTGCAGGTACATGGAAGCCAGTCCAGACACAGAAACTCAGGTGCAGACATTTAATCCCCCCAACACACATTGTGAAGTTTCCACCTCCTTACAAAATAGTGATGATGCTTCTGATTCCTCCTGCATGCCTGTGCCTTTATTAGCCTTTGCTCTGTTCCCTCCTACACACTTTGGATTTGTTTGATGTGTTTAATGTCTTCTGTAGCTCTCCCTGCATGCACACACCTGCAGGCCCCTTCCCGACTTCAAATTCTTCCACATGGGAGCAATGAGAAAATGGACTAACAGCATTTGCTATTCTTTAGCCTTCTGGGGCAGCACACCACACATGGAGCAAACCTGATGCTATTCACAATGTCTTCATCCACAGGAGCCAAAAGGGGGGTCCTGGCCTACTCAGAAGTCTACAGGGTTTCACCAGGCACAGATTTTCAGTCCACTCTTGTAGCTTGTAACAGTTTTAGAGCAAAGGGAGGTGACTAAAATGCAGTCTGATACTCTATTCACTCACCACAGAGTGGCTGAGAGCCTACATTTCTTATACACTTCTGGAATACCAAGGCAGATTTACTTCTAATGGGAGTGTTCAGTGATGTTGTGATGATTTTCCCTCCTCAATTAGCACCTCCTGTTAGTCTTCCCAGACATTTCAGCTGCAATATGCATATCCCCATTTCCTCCTCCCCCTCTTGCAGATGTCTCTCAGCCACTGACAGCAGCAGCTATGAGGAGAGGAAAAATATGAGATACCCAAAATCCAGGAAAGCAACGAGTACCTTCAATGGATGTAGTTCAGGATTTAGTGAAATGTGATCTCTTCCTGACTAAGGATTTCCCCCCTTAACAGGAGAAGATGAAAAGCCTCTCTTACTGTTAGCTGTGCAGGGCTCCTCCATACAGCTATCCATGTTCCCAAACCCCCTGTGTCTTGAGGGCCCCAGCAGACTGACATAATTATGGCGCAAATGTCACCGATGGACTCAGCAATAAACAGAGCATGACAGAGATCTGTTCAGCTCACATAAACTTTACAACCCTATAAATACCATACCCATAAGAGACCACAACCATAAAATACAGAGAACAACTACAGAGATTTCATGTGAGAATAAACATACATCAGTGGACAGAGAACTCACTGTTTGGAGCATTAAATAAAGGATATCAGGAGCTCCCCAGCAGCCCCTGGATGAGTGGTTCCATTACCTGTCCTGCTGGTGGCTTCTCCATCCGAAAAGTCAGATCTCTTTCAACCAAAAGCAGTACTCCATGAATACAATGAGGATCTATGTCCTACAACAGAACAGAGCGCAAATCCGTTACCAATCTGCCTGGGATGCTGAAGAGAATATACCAAACCAGGTTTGTACCTGAGATTGTAATTTATTCTTCAAATGTATTTATGAAGCCGGGAAGGCAGACACCAAGTATCAGGGAGGCCATTCTACAGAGCACCAAGGCTATGTCCTTAAGGTAGTTTTGCTTCAGACCAACTAGTCCTGAAGTATTTAAGGAAGCAATGAAAGAGGTTGTGTCTTGTGTGTACTAAAAAAAGCTCTGCCTTCTACAAAGGGAAGTGTGTCAGGAGGAGGAAAAAAAGAACCATGTTCAGTGTCCAAGTTTTTTCTTGATAACTTTCCTGGTCACTTCTGCTCACTGAAAGGAAGTTGGTTTTTGCTTTTTGGTTTGTTTTTTGGGTTTGGTTTTTTTTTTTTTCTGTTTTGTTTTTTTCCCCCACAGCGCCAAAAATGTCGTCGTGTCTTTACTTACTGCCAACTCACAATCAAGGACTTGCATCCTGTTGCTACTGTTAAACCGACAGAAATTCCAAATACAAGGGATGTCTGGCAGCTGTAGTTCAAACTCTGTGATCCAGGAGCAGCTCTCCCATTATAGAAGCACTCTACAGGGAAGTGAGAAATAGGCACAGAAAGCGACAGCAGGAAGAGGGAAACGCAGCAGAAAGATCCAGACCATGGAGATAGGGCCCACTATATACATCATGTCTGGACCAGGATAGCAAGGAGAACAGCCATTTAAGCTGTCAATCCACATGGTTAAATAAAAGCGGTCCCATCTGGATGTCTCCTAGATGGTCTTTGCCTCTACAAACATCTCTGAAACTGTCAAGCAACAAATCCTTTCCAGTATTGCTCAAGCTGCAAGGAACCTGCCACACAGCAGGCCATGACAGCAAGGGAAATCTGTTTAAATAAATGGCTCCAGCAGTGTTTAGGGTTAAATACCCAGCACAAGCAGCAGAGACAGAGCCAGGGGCAAGTGGACCAGCAGAGGCTGAGCAAAGTAACCTGACACTGGGCCCAGTACAGCAATTAAGAAACAATGCCAACACAAGGAGACCCAATTCTGCAAGTGAAAGCCAGCAGAGATTCCAGAGCAGAGGAAAAGACCTTTCTCTCATCTAGTCCTAAAACAGGATCCTTCTGAACAGGCGAAAGGGTGTGTGTGTGTGTGTGTGAGATTCCAACTGAAAGACATTCCAAAAATGTGAGAGGTTTTTAAGTCTTCTCAGATCCTTTTCTCCAAAGCAAATTATTCACACTTTCACTGTTATCTGAACACTGATCTAAAGGCTAAAAAGAATTTATTGCATATCAGGCTGTATTAGGTAAATACTGAAGCTCATCTGATGAGAGGATGAGGAGGTATTACAGCTGCATCAGCTCTGAATTTGCCTGCTAAAAAGCACTGAAGGATGAAGACTAGCCACAGTTTCAAGACAGATCATGGCACTAAATAAAGTTATTCTTTCACAACCCCTCTTCTACTCCAACAGTCATGAGATGTGCAATCTGAGTGAGGGATAAAGGTAGTGATGGTGTAACATGAGGTTACAACAGTCAAAACACTCACTTGCTTGTTCATTACTCCTGAAAATAGAAACTGAAAAACAATTCAAAAATAAAGCTGTCCGGGGAGAATTTCAGGATTTTCCAATCCAAGAAGTGATAGCTCCAAAGAAATCAAGTATTTTTCACCGTATTTTTTTCTTTACACAGATGAAGAGAAGTCAGTCTCATCCCGAACTGATGATACAATCTGAATTGACTAAAACAGTTTACAGGAGTGCCTTGGGAGACAGGCAGAGCTGGAAGCAGCAGGATGCTACTCACAGAAACTTTCCTGCAGCTTTCTCCAATCTCTTACCACCTTTGCTAACAAAACCATCTAACTGGAAGCAAAGAAACAGAGTCCCACACACGTAAGTGAACTCCTCACCTCCCAAAAAAGGCACAGTGGTGACAGCATAGAATAGAGGGGCATCAACAGGAGCTCGAAAAGCACTAGGGTAAATACCCATCCTTTATATTATTATTCTTTAGAAAAAGAATTAGATATTTTCTTCCATCTTTCTCAGTTTGAAGTTTCAGTCTTCTGGCTTCCTGGCCCAAACAGAAGCCCATGGCCAGACTTAACACTGGCACAGTTTGAAGCACAGGCTGCCAGGAATGCCTGTGCAGATGGGAGAGTCCCCAGATACCATGTTCAATCTCAAAGTGACCACTTGTAAGGGAGTGGTAGGATGTCCCTGGTCTTTAGCTTCAGGCCAAGGTCCTCCAGACTTCTGCAGTAACAGGGCATGCAAATATACCTCTTGAACAGAAAGGTTTGTGCAGAACTTTTCGGCCTTCAATGCCTACTGTATCTTGTTGTCATCATAAACAGACTCTTCCCTTCCCAATCCAACACACAGATGCAGATTACAGAATTAAATGTTCACACCGATATGCGAAATAATCTCACTCTATAAAGACTCAGGCAGAGGGAAATTCCACAGATTCCACTGTTCGTGCCTTGCCTACTCACTGACCAAGGGATCAGCCCAGCACTACTGAGCAACAAAGTTCCTGTGAACAGGTCCCACAGCATAGAGCTTACCGGTGACAACCTCTGACCAAACATCACAGCAGCATTTACCTCTGCAAAAATCCCTGCTCCAAAGCATCATTACACAGCTTCCCACAGAACAAGCATGATCTACTGCAGCATGTACACACTGCACACTTCCCTTCCACCTCCGTACAGAGCTGCCAGAGTTCCTTCTTGCTCCTTCCTGGGTTAGCTCTGCTGCAGTGCTTTATTCTGCCCCTGCTCCCAGTGCCGTCTAGGACAGAAGGATTTCCCAGCCACCATAGTCTAAGAAGAAAGGAGGAAGAAAGTCTTGCAGAACACAACTCCCCTCACCCTGAAGGCAGAGAGGGTGCAAAGCTTTCCCCAGTTTACGAAGTGGCCCTAGACAGTGCAACTGGCAGTCTCCCAGTGCTGTAGGGAAAGCTACCTCCAAGTATCAAAAGTTATCTATTAGCACTTAAAATGCCTGTCCACACATTTATTCCAGAAATATAGAAGAAAGAAGTACTTCCTCAGACTGACAGATCTTGGCCCAGAAACACACAGGATCAAAGTCTTCCCTACTCAGGGAGATTCTCTGGGGTTAACAGATCTGACCACAGCAGCAGGAAGGGACTCTGCACTGGGGTAGCTGATCTGTGCCTGCCCACTGTGAAGCAGTGCTCCTCACTGCTCAGGAGGAAAACGTCCCTTCAAAATTGAACAAGCAACACTGCATCTCAACATTTAACAGATTCCACGCACGTTATCATAGTAGGCTTCACAAGAGCCATGAAAATATAATCCTGTTGAATTAGAGCGCAGAACAGCAGAGAAATGAGCTCCACAGACAGTCTGCCAGAGATAAGAGACGTTGGGAAGATGTCTCAGGGATTTCAGAAAGGAACCCCTCAAGGAGATGATCTGTTCTGTGACCTTATAGGCATAACACACAGTCTGTGCTTCTGCATCCACAGGCCAGCAAACTTTGCTGTGCTCTAGAAGGCTTAGCTTGCCCCACTGTGTTTACAGTGAGTTTTTCCTATTTCTCTGTCCTTGTTTCAGAGCAGATGAGAGTACTGCTGGGGGATCACAGAGGTAAACACTAAGGATCTCCAAAAGGCTCAGAGGAGCCAGGGGATTATTCCTGTGCCATAACCAGAATCTGAGCTAGCTGAACAGGTCTCATTTACTGAGTCTGCAGGAGAGTCAGGGTAAGGATCAAAAACCCACAAGCAGAGTAATCAAGCCTCTGTCAGTCACTGTTACCTGGAGCACACATTAGGCTCTAGCAATCTGTCTTGCAGCACATTAATCCCTGTTAACTGTTGCACCACCCTGATAAGGAGGTGCTCAGAGCCAAACAGTCATCACAGCAGGATATTAGAGGCACTGCAAAAAGCTTCCCCGGCCACCTCCTTTCAGAGGGTGGGACACTTAAGGTTAGAATGCCTTTATTCCTGACAGGCTTGTATGAGACTGGGGAACCAAAAAGCAAATTGTGTCGCAACATGTTGCCAATTACCAACTCATCCCACTAAGACAACTATATAACCAGGGGCAGTGAAACGCTCAAAAGCTCTAGGAAGCCCACTGCCATGTGAGCACAGCATAAAAGAGAAGATAAATTGCTTGTTACCTCTGCAGAACTGAGCAGGGCACCAGATCATTCCTTCACCACAGAGAATGAGCACACTGCACTGATAGAGCTCACAGCTCCACCCAGCCCAGGAAGCAGGACAGACCTCTGACTCAGCCCCAACACTCAGATGTGGCACTGAAGCACACAAACCACTCAGACACCAGCTTCATTAAAACATTGCCCTGTTCCAGTTTGCAGAGTTTGAGTCCTCAGAGACCTAAACTCTGATTTAAAAGGAACACCTGCTTAAACAAGATTAGTCATAGCTACAACCCAGCATCTCCTTGGCTTTCTAACAGCAGGAGATAGCTTCTATCTGGCAGCAGAGGCAACACAACCCACTTGCTTTCCAAGTGACTGATATGAAAGCCTTTGACCTGAAGCACTATAGAGTTACAGCATGTCTGATTCCAATCATTCACCGACAGCCACATCAACAGCTGCATGGGTTCTTCCACCTGGCATGACAAGCACTGCCCTGCCCTGCCCTTCCCTCTGTAGCAGGCAGAGGCCTCTCTTCCTCTCTTCTCTATGGTGGGCAAAAATCACTGCATATTTCACACAGTCCTTCCATGTGGGGACAACAGCTCCAAGCATGACAATTCATGACAGTGTTTAGACTTGGGTACAGGCTGTTAGCACAGAGATGGAAGCAAATTTGGAGGGGTGGGGAGGAGTCTTCTCCCCTAACTCAGACTTGCTTAGGTGTTTTGCTTTGTCTGCAGTCTGGCAAGTCTAGGTCATCCTCCTGAAACAGGGCTGGGTACGTAGCTCCACCTCCCCAAGCCAACTCAAAGCCAGGTGGCAGATGGAGACATAAGCAGCAGATGGAGATGTAACATGCAACCAAGATGGCAAGCCAGCTAGTGTTCCTTTGCCCAAGCTCAAGGCTCACCTGCAATATGCTGAATGCCTTGAAGAGAGCAGGAACTGGTGAACAGCGACGAGCATCCACAAGAACAGTCAAACCCAAAGCCTGACATTCTGGTCTGCAAGGACAGAGAAAAAGAGGTCAAGTTTGTCGCCAATGAAAATCAACAAGACTATGGAAACAGAACCCACAGTCATGACAGAGTGAAAAAAAAGTCATACGTTAATGGCTCTATAAGGACAGGGAAACTAACTGGCCACCTTCTAACCAAAATATATACACGTGGAAACCATCACCTGGATTACTCAGTTTTTACCTTTGCTATTTCCACCTGAACTTTCCATTTCTCCAATTCCTAGGACATATCTCACAGATCACAAAGGTGCCGATAACCACTCTGTGTAACCCACAGAGGAAAACTAGTCCTTCCTAATTGCATGCAGGGATAAGCTTGACCCAGCTACACTGCTTCACAACAACCACCATTCTGGATCAGACCCAACATCTATCTTGCCCAGAATCAGATTTGAAGGGAGAAGCATAAGAAACAAACCATGAGTACCAGAAGCTTTCTCACGGATTAAGCATGCTCCCTTTATCAATGGTTTACAGGCCTCAAAACAAAACAAAAAACCCAAACCAAAACAAATCACTGAGTTAGCTTCACCTCTTACTATTCTAATCATCTAAAAGCAAAACAAAGTCTCAGTAGAGCCTGAGATGAGATGCCGGGGGGTGGTGGGGTGGTGGTGGAGAAGAACATCATAGTGAAAGGAAGAGTAGCTGCAGCAAACTCCAGCCTGCAGACTCCAAAACCAATTGTCAAACAGATATCAAGGCAGATTTTTCTCAACCCCTGCAGATTCTACCCCCGCTCCCAGGTTGGAGACCTGGCCCTAAAATATCATGTCACTGTGTCATGGAGCTGCTGCATGACTGACACATCTCATTTTCTGAGCTAATGAAGGATAGCAAGAACGGCTTGTATTCATAGCAGTGTATGAAAACGTTCAGTACATACCCAATACTATCACACCACGTGCACAAGGCACATACAGAATAGCCAAAGTGCTTACTGAACACGAGCCCCTTCACCCTAGCAGGAGATCCCCATCTGTACAGTTTCAGGACTGTCTGGACCAGATTACTGGGCCAATAAAGTCACCCATTCCACTCACTGCCTTGGCTTCCACCCCCCCAAAAGGCAAAGCAGACATGGCAGCAGCTGTCCACCCTGCCAGCCCAAGAGTGTTACAAACCTTGGGATGCTATGCAAGTACAGAAGAAGGCGTACAAGCTCAGTGGTATTGCAGTGAGGGTTTAACCAGGCTGTGTTCCTTGTTGTTATTATGGCCACTGCACGTCCCGATTTATCTCTGGTACCTGTAAAAAGAGGGGGGGGGGGGGGGGGAGGAGGAAGTCCACAAAGAAGTCAGAGCCTTGTGTTCCAGGTGTGTATGCCTCATGTTCCCCTACTCTCACTCCATCACCTTCCTAGTAATGCTCCACAGAACTTGATATAGTATATGTTGCAGATTGTGGTAGGCTATACACACACTTCCAAAATACCAAAATGCTGCTGAGCTCTGCTTGTCATTTTCTTATGGTAGTATCAAATCTGGACTACTCTCTTCTACCCAAACACACATTCTTCATAAAAGATGGCTGAAGTTGGCTAATGAGGACTCAACCTTGCCAGAAGAGCAAGAACCTCAAATTCAAGATAAATAATCTCACCTCCGCTTATGTTACAATATTCACATTGCTGTCAGACAAGAGAATGCAGACAGGTTTGCAGAACATGTGCTACCTAATGAGACCAGGCACCAGCACTGCAGGCTGAGCTTAGCACATAACCAGACATCTCCTGGGAGCCAAGCCCCGAGCTCCTCCTCAGAGGCTGCAGAGCGGACAGCCCAGGAGCACACTACTGCCCGCCTACAGCTCTGACAAGGGCAGAGTTGGTGCCAGGCTTTCATTAGTTTCAGAGCCATTTCAGTGCCATTTCTGGGATGACGTCCAGCCTCCTCTCCAGATGCAAAGGAGAGGTAAAGAGCAGGCAGACGTATCGCTTTGGAGACCCGGAGCTGCCTCTGCCATTCAAAAGCAGGCAGTGCCCGTGCAGCGAGCCCACTCAAGGGACCAGTGCACTGCGCTCACCCATGGTCACCGGGAAGGAGAAGAGTAGGGACTACACCTCTGTTGTGTGAACAGTAATTCACAAGAACAGGAGCCATTTCCTGGCATACAGATTGAATGAGAGAGGGGAAAAAAAATCCCAAGCACAAGACAAAACCAGAGGCTGACAGAGAGCTGTGTCTTTCTGTCTCTTCTGAACTTTATTGCTGCCACAGGAGATACCATCCTAGACCATGTCTCTTCCCATCCCAGAGACAAGCATGTGAGTTGACAGGTAAAACAGATACAGATGGACAGCCCCAAGCACAGAAAACTGCCCTGGTGTGATCTCAATCTGTCACTAGGAAGTGACTTGAGTAAGGGCCACAGACACAGATGGGCATCATTTAGAAGCAGGGCTTTCTCCCTCTCAGGGACCAGAACTGTGACACAGGCTTGCCCCTGCTAACAGCAGGGACAAAATCTTTCATCATCTGTGTGATTCAGAGGGAGTTCTATTACTCTTGAAATACTGTATTCTGGATGCTGTATAATCAAAGAACTGGAGAGAAATTAGAAAAATCTTATTAATATACCTTGTTTCATAAGCTAAGGGGATCATCAGAAAATAAGAAAAATCAAAGCACTCAATTCCTAGAAAAATTACTCAATAACCAGGCTAAGTAAAAACATTCTTACTCTAAGCAGCATCTTTTGTTCATCAGGGAGGCTAGACATCACCAGGACTTGATTAAACCTTGAACTTCCATATAGGAGCCTGGGAATTGCCTGATCAGGTCAAAAAAGCAACCACAGCCACCACGGCTAGGTCTCCAACAGCAGCATAACCAGATGATTCAAGAGCAGAATGCAGAATTGAAACTCTTCTGAAAGGAAGATTTCTACCTAACTTCATCAGCTACTAGTTTATTACCTCTTACTCACTATGCATTATAAAAGTTATCCTTTCTAATGTATTTATTCTATCGCTACCGATGTCTAGCATAAAGCATTTAACCGAGTGGTGAGTGCATTCCCCCAGGTGTGAGGATTGCCCAGTGAAATCCAAATGGCAACACGAGAGATGTCAGTCAAATCTGATACTGCTTCTAAAGCAAACATGATTCCTCCCTTAGATGGAAACTCTCTTGGAAGTGGTAACAAACCCAGACCTTGTTTCTTCAATGAATTTCAAAGGCATATCCCTTCATCCCATATTCAAATGTATCTGCCTCGTTTAACAGTGGTATATTATGGTAGGAATCTGTGACAAAGGAAGCAGCTAGAGCATTAGATCACAGTCAGGCTTGTACAATAGCATGGACCATGAGCTTCTCTTAAAGACGGGTCTCTCAAACACTGTAATTTTTTGGCTGTTGTACATCCAACCTGATCGACAGATCAGAAGATTAGAAATCCTCCTTTCAAATTTGTTCTAACAATTTACCTCCAAATGCCAGGTTACATGTTTGAATGAAATATAACTCTGCCCTGCACTTGGTTTCTCGTTTCATCTTTTTCCAGAAGACTGGAAAAGTCTTATTTCCCTTTTTTCCTTCCCTGCATAAAAGTATTTTCACCTTGTTCTCAATCATCTTATGAGATAAACAACCTTCCAGTCCCTTGCCATAAGATATCCAATTCAGTTACAAGAAAGAGATGTCACCCTTTCCTGCACCACCTCCAATATTCACCATTTCCTTTTAGAACAAAAGCATCAGAACAGTCCAGACGATTTGAGAGGCATCACCAACAAGCACACAGGTAAAAAAATCAGTTCCCGAATCTGGCTAGTCATCCCCTCTCCTTCACGCAGCTGAGGTCAAAATTGCTCTTGCAGCATCAGCACTGAGTGGGAAAACATTGTGCTGCCCTTCTGCTCTCCTTCCCAATTACTGCACAGGTCTGCCTGATCTCTTCTGTGCTCTCTCTGGCCAATTTTCAACTCATATGTGGCTCCTGAGCAGACTGAATGTAGCTCTCTTCCTGCCCCACACTGGACAACCCTCTTACTGGCTGTGGAAGGAAGAAAGCCCACAGGGGCTGCTTATGCAGGCGCTGCCAAACGGCTGTTTCGCACTGGAGAGGTAGATCTCACTTCCTCTGCTTTACTTCATATTTGGTTAAACACAAAGGCCTCTTGTGTGGGCCCTGCACACCAAGCAATGCTGGCTGCTCTGTCCAACAGCCTCAGCTTTGTTTAACACTCTGCCAATATTTGTCCCATGCAGAAGTTTTATCTGCAATGATTTGATACTTGCTGCCATATCAGATGCAAACACTGAATAACGTTTGACCTACAACTGATCTCAGCAGAACAATTCTGGGAAGTCCTCCCTTGATAGCTAGTTTTGTCATCTGCTATTTAGCTACTCTGCCATTCATCCCACGCATTGCTCATCCACACTTCATTGGGATATTTCTTCTCAACACTATGTGTCATGAAATCAAATGTTTTCTAAAAATGTTATATCTAGGCAGCTACATTTAATCAACCAAACTTCTAATTACCAAGAATAAAACTGGTTTTACAAGAGCACTGTCAAATAGCACCTTCTACATTCCTATCCTTTAATTATCTACCAAGTGAATCAAGTTTCTATTGTTTAGGCCAGGTCTGATGTCAGGCCCACCAGCCCATCATTAGCTGCACCCTCACCCTTCTCTTTTTGAGCTACCGGTATGAGCCCATGGATTTGGCATTTCTGACTCATATACACTTGGTTAACATTTTGAGACTCCTGGGAGCACATTAACATTACTTCCGTGAGAGGAAAGTTCTACTTCCTGTCCTTCCCATCCAGAAACTTTAGAGGATTCAAGAAGCATTGCTTCTGGAGAGGTTTGGGGTGAAAGAAATGGAATTGGCACCACTCTGCAGTGCTGCAGAGGCTCACCTCCCTTGCCCTCCTACAAAACCACACTTCCCAGATACATTCTAGCTCAGCTACTCACCAGGCAGGCAGGCAACTCCGCTCCTGAGCACTTCTGGGTTCACATCCTTGACTATACTAGGTCCAGACCGACCACCCCAGGCAGTCCCAGAAGCTGGGGATGTTGGGGGAGTAATAGGTGTTGAGGTTTCCTCCAGAGCACTGACTTTACTCACTGGTTTCAACACATCTGTGCCAGCTGCTTCTTTTCTCATCTCTGCCTCTTCTGACACCATCCCTGTAAGACAAGCAGCAGTCAGAAGCTGGAGCAGAGCTCCACCCAAGAGGTCCCAGGGAAGTACCAGACTGGGGAGGGACATGTCCCCAGTCCCAGCACTCTGCAACCTCTCCAGCCCTTGTGCCAGTAGCATGCATATTCCAAAACTGGTTATAACATTAATACTACCGTAATTAAAAAAAAAAAAAATAAATAAACCAATATATTGTGAAGTTTGCAAGTTACAAAAACTCAATTCAGATCAGGATTACTGTAGTCAAAGTCATGTTTCAAGGTAACATAGCAAGCAGTACATGTCTGCTCACAGCATGAAAGTCTGGCGCAGTGCAAGTCCCTGGCTAAGCTCCAGCAGCTTGAGCATGCTGAAATGATAAACCAGCTTCTGACAGGGAGAGCTACTCCATCAGAGCAGAATTACTCCCCCAACACCACTTTCAGATTAGTTCCTGAAAATAAGAAGTCAACTCGAGGCTGACAAATCAGCTGGAAATTAGCCAGAAGACCATGTTCTGCTCATCCAAACTTTTTAAATTAACAGTTCATGTGAAAGTCAGAAACCTATTTTAAAACCCTGAAGAACAGGATGATTACACCAATCAGCTCTATTTGAGAACTGGAGAAATGCTTCCTTTGCCTGACACCTCAGCTCTAAACGACAAGTTATCAGAATCAATTATTTCTAAAATTAAAGATCTTAGCTACTACATGGAAACTAATGCTAGTTTTATCAAGTTTCGATTTTCATGTAAAAGTAGCTGGAGAGAAGATAAAAAAAAACCCTAATGCATAGGAATTCCCCACTTCCCAACACTGTAAGAATTAAAAGCCAGCAACACATCTTCAACAATACATCTTTAGCATCCTAAGTACACAGCTAGGCTATCCCACTGTTTGACAGAAACATACACTAAATAAAAGGTTACACTTCACTGTAAATCCTGATATTTCAATATCTACCAACAAAAATAATCAACCTTTTTTTTTTAGGAAAATAAGAGAGTGGAGTATTTATTTGCTTGCTATGAAGTCAGACATTTTAATTGCTTTTTAAAATTGACTTCAACCAACCTACCTTCCTGCTGCATCAACAATGCTGACACTTGACTCAGTTTATTTACTAACAGATTCCAATACTTCATTAAAGAGCAGGACCAGGAACAAAGCAGTCCTTGAAGTGGCTTTCAATACAAGTTTTAGCACTGAAGGAGATTTACAGGTTGAGGCTCAGCCCAAACTGCTTTCAAAATTGCTAAAGTGGGTGAGAGAAGCGCCCTGAGCAGCATGGCTCACTGTGAAAAATTATCCAACGGCGGGGGGGAATCTAGGAGGGGCTCTAGAGCTCTGTACCACTGAGGCCATGATGGAGTAGCTGCTCATTACTCTTTGGTAACACCCCTCTTGAGGCAGCATCCCTGCGATCCAGCTTGGCATCTGCTGCATTTGACCTCGTAAGTGGCCATGATGGCTTCAGGGCTCTGCAGAGTTCTGGGACACATCAGCGCTCAGTTCTGTTCCTAATACTACCTCAGCCTCCACTTTCCAGTGATGCAAGAGGTCATTCGCCTTGGACAACACTGCTAGATCTTCCTGAAGCAGCATTTTAGAGGGGCACTGATCTCCCATAAATGGGAGATCTTGAAGATCACAGTCATGTAAGTCATGCCCCAAAGGTTTTGCATTAAGGGCCGATAGACTTTCTAGGAGAACAGCGTGATCTTCTCAAGGAGCTGTAAGGCCTGGCAATAGACAGAACCATGGTTTGTAGTAAAGGAATCTGAATTAAACAAAGCAAGCCTGCAAAGAGGACCAAAAGGCGGCATTTAAAGAAGACATGAAAGGGAACATAGCTGTATTGAAGGTACCACAGCAGGGCAAGAGAAAGACAAATGTACATGGCAGCCCGGCCTTGGATATCTCTTAGGAATGAGGTAGCAGCTCCCAAAAGCTAGAAGAAAGAAACATTTCGCTCAGCCCACCAGATTGGGTGGTGCGCGTACTGGGGCTTTTCAGCCCCAGGGAAACCTTACTGGAGTTGTGCAGCCTTCAGACTACGTACATCTTGCCCAAACACCCCCTTCCCTGAGTTTCTCGGGCTCAGTTCAGATCTGCAGTCCCCACCTCCCTCCAAACAGGCCCAAACACACTGTTTATTATTTGCAGTCTGGGGTGGAGGCACTTACTAAAGCGGAAATTGTAGAATGCGGAGGATTAAATCAAAAAGCAAATTGAGAACTGGGACATCTGAATTTGCCATGTTTGCAGGTTCCACCTTTCCCCGAGGTTAAGGAAGCGGTAGAGAAGGATTTGCTTGTGTGCATTTCAAAGAGACATTAGCATTTTTCCTGCAAAGTGCCTGGGCACCAGTATCATGTATGCTAACATCATCTAGTAACAGGAAGCAGGAACGGAATGCCCTAACAGGTGCTGCTGAATATGCCCCAGTGTGGCTTTCAGACAATTTCTTGAATAGCAAGATTTTCCTACTCCCAAAATATAGGAATTCTTCCCAGAGCTGCAAAGTTTCAAAATTCACCTTCACTTAAGGTTAGTCATTAGGGGAAAACAGCAGTCACATTATCTGTGAATGGAACCATGGTAAATTTTAAGTCAACTCAAAACAGCTCACAATTGAGTCAAAAGCTTTCTAAGTTAGATCATATTTGTGCAGAAAATAAGCTTACTGGGAGTGGGAAGAAGGGGAGAGAATTAAGGGACAAGGAAAAATCTGCAGAAACAGCAAACTCAGATGCCCCAGTTCTGAATGTGTATTTTGACATAATCTACAATGTCTGCCATAACAAGCAAGCCCCTCCACCCCACAGAGCAAATCGTGTGTCTGCTCACTACCAGTGAGGTGTGAACTGCAGATCTGAACTGACCCAGTAAAGCTTAAGCTTTGCTGTTGTTCATATTTTAGGCAAGATACAGTTTCCAATCATAGGAGCAAAATGGCCCCAACAAGAAACAGTTACAGAGAAATCAACTCACCTACAGACTGACTGGCTAGGAAAGTCCATTTGTAGGACATTTGCTTCACTTCGTAATTTTATCTCAAAATTATCTTGTTATTATATCTCTGAGGGCTCAATGGGGCTAGATAAGGGGATGGCTTGTTTGGATCTCAAAGCAATCAAATGTAATTGAATGGATTAAGCTTATTGTAGTTCCAGCTATAGTGTTTAAGAAATACTCCCGGCATTAACAGGTATTTGAGCTGCCCTGTAACTTAAAGAGTTTGGTTGGTTGGTCGGTTTGGGGGGTTTTCCTGGTTGTTTCTTTTGCTTTACAAACTCTGAAATAACAGGGTTGGGGTTTTTTTAACTGCAATGCCAAAATTTATCATCATCATAACTGGGCCATGAATGTCACTTCAGCCAAAACCCCATTAACATTTAAATTGTCTTTCATGAAAAACAAACTCCACACATACCCCAAAGGGGTCTGTAATTGCTGACATCAGCAGCGGCCAAGACTCGTCCTGTGGAGCTGCGAGAACATCACACTTCATGAGCTGGACCTGGCTAATTTTAGACAGAAGAGATGGGAACACTGAACAAGCAGCCACTAAAGTCACGAGGAAAGCGTACACCCAGCACTTGACACAGCTTAGGTTTTCTGAGGTCCAGTTCTGTGCAAACAAAGTCAAGCCAGGTTCAGCTTGGTCAGGGGAATGGATACTCACGACGTGGTTATTTACTGGCATACATCCCCCAAGAGCTACAGATAGGCAGAGGGTGACCTCTTTTTTCCTGCTCATGGTGGTAGATGCTCAGAGACACACTTCAGAAACAGCAGCTTTTGAGCTGACCCCTCCATTTCACAGAAGAGAAATGCTTGTCACTCCAAAAGTATCAGAAATGTCTGGCAACCATAGGCTTGTCTAATCATGGAATTAAAATATTTTGCTGCAGATGTTAATGAAATTTCATTTCAATCAACAGACACTTTAGCTCCATTAGAAGGTCACACTAAGGCATCAGGTAAAATGTGACTTTTGGACACCTGAGAAAGGGTTTGCAGCCAAATGGAGTAGTGCTGCAGCAGTGATGTAGGCTCCTATCCACACAATTTAGGCCCATCCCAAGATGATCAGCTCTCGATCTGTTCCTCCACTGGGTCAGACACGCTCCAGCAATGTGAGTCTGTACCGCCGACCCTTTCAAGAGTCCTCAATCCAATATTTCAAGCTGGGTAATTTTCCTAGCCAGGGGTCTCAGGGAAGGAGAGCTGTTGAACTGGAATGGCATGTTTCACCCGCCCCCGCTGCACACACGCTCCTCAATGTGATCTGCATATCTAGCTACATCTTTCCAGACTCAGCAGAGCTAGACAAAGCCAACAACGAGTCCATGCGGTTATACACTGCCTGCTTACAGTCTGGTGCCAAAGGCAGAGAGACCTGGATTGCCTGTTCAGTTCCTTCTGAAGGAGCACGGCTCCAGCACAGGACCCCAGGCATCAAGAATTCTGGGCAATACCTGCTTGAACATATCTTTTGAGTTGAAGTTAAATGCTTGATTTCTCTGTGCTCTCCCACTCAAGTTAAACAGCTCCTACTTGAAATGTAACCAAGCCAAAGAAAGCATGCCAGAGGGGAAGGGAGGGAAGAGGAGGGGAATCCCTCAACTCCAAGGTTTGCTTCTTAAATCAGTTACCAGCACACGCATTTGTTGATCTTCAGGTCATGTTACACGGCTTGTATTTTGCTGTGGCATCCACTGCTGCTTCTCTTGCCACAACTATCTTCCCAAAGCCAATTTTCAACTATGAAGACTTGCATAGTTAAACATTCTCTTCTCATGCATTCCTATTGCATGCACCCATTAATGTGCACACGATGAACATAACGGGTGGAGACAGCCAGCAATCAGATTAACTGAAATTAGAAGTCTCCTACACTGGAACTTTGTTCTGTACTGATGTAAATTTGAAAAGAACTATTAAACAAAATACCTGCAATAAACCCACCTATGAAGGGAAAGCTACTTTCAAGCCACAAAATGACAACTTAATCACCTTCCTGTAGTTTGTGCTATTAGCCCAAAGCCTCCCAGCAGACATACTTGTCAGTGGTACCTCTTGAGGACTTTGTTTTCAATCCACCTTATCAAACAGATAAACACACAAACATCCAACTGCTGTACCTTTAGGAGATGATGCCCTAGGAGCTGCCTCTTGGTGGGAGTGCAGAATGGTGGGCTCTGTATGCCCCTCAGCAGGTCCTGAGGACAGTGGTCCAACCTCCAGTTCCTCTTCAATGGATTCCAGTGTTTTTAAGGCTATAGTAATTGATTTTTCCCCATAAGAAAAACTTTCCCGGTTCTCCTCCCCTTCACACAAGTCCTGTACTGCAACACACTCTGGTTTCAGCACAGAGTTCTCTTCACTTTTACTGTCCTGGTTTTCTGCCAGTCTTTGTGGTTCCTCATACCTCTCTCCAGACCTGTGGGTTCTGAATTGACTTGAGCCTTCTGCTTGTGCATCAGAGCCCATCAAAGAGTCACTGGTGTTTAATTGTTCTGCTGTCTGATCACCCTCTGCTGACAGGGCAGCTTGGAGTAGTATGGCTTCTTCATCTTTCTTATGTTGACAGGCAGAGACCTCTTGCTCTTCACCATCTGACAAGACTCCATCTATAGGAGCTTTGACAGAATAGTGACTATGACTTGTCTGATTCTCATTTACAGTCAATATTTGTTCAATCTCTTTGACTTCCTCTGGGCTGCCCCTTCTTCCCAGCTCAAATGCATCTACTTCTCCTTGGTTCTGTTCTGGAGGATTTAATGGAGAACTAAGATTTGCTTCCTGATCACTGCAGAACGCACCGACTGCTCCTACATCTGCCATGCTCCCTGAAGGAGAGCCTCTCTCCACACCTACATCTGAACTCTCAGCTGTGACAAGCAATGTAGTGGCCTGGACTGGCACAACACTTTCACTGACATTCTGGCAAGAAACATCAGAACCTTCCTTCAGTGTGCAACATGATCCCGAAGGCCCAAGGACAGGCACAGGAGAGGCATCCATCCATGTCACCTCATTTTGACCCTCGGTCAGTGGTTCTCCATGTACTCTCAGTATCACCTCCTTTTTAGCAGCAGTAGCATCTAGAATTGTTTCTGGGCTCTGCTCCGATTTTCCAACACCAAGATTTCCACTGGGACCATCACTTTCTCCTTCCATGTTTCCAGGAGCACCTGGCATTTGTGCTTTGCAGTTGACACCATCTCCAGCACACACGTCGCTGTAGCTGCACAGTGCATAGCGCCAATCAACTGAGTGTTCGCTGTGGGTCTCCTGCTCTGCAGATGAATCCTCTGCACTGCAGGCAAGAGACTCAACCACAGGAAACCTATTCCCCGTGTTTCCAGGACCACCCGATATCAGCTGACCTTCTGGAGACAGTTCTCCATGTGCCATCATTTTGTCGCTTTCTAATGGAATTACATTTTTGAGAACTTCTGTAGGAGAAGTCCTCAGAGTGTCCATTTGACAGTGCTCCTTCTGCATAAGTGCTGACTGAATCAAGTTCTTGGAGTAGGTACTGTCTTGAATGACAATAAACCTGTGTTTGCCTTTAGACGCATTCACTCGTGTTCTGGGCTGAGTTAGATAATTTAAAGCTAACGATTGGGTTAAAGAGCCTGTTTGTGGTCCAAACCTGGGCAGTGAAACTTCCGTCAGCTCAACGTACTCTCCTTCAAGGTCACTTTTCAAGTTCTCTTGAGGCATAGGACTTGTACAAACACCATTAACAAGAGCTTCACTTAACTGAGGAGCTGTGTTGCTAATGACCAGGTTGCCTCGATTTGGACTTTGCTCCTGTAGATACTGAGATCTTAGGTCTGGTGAACTGCATTCAGCATGGTCCATGGAGAGGCACAAAATTGAACGTCCCTCTGTTATTTCTGGAGAGATGATACTGTTTTCAATTATTTTTGGTTTATTAATAAATTCAGGATTAACCACTTTATCCCAGGGGACACGAAATATTTTATCATCAGTGGTTAGTAAACAATTTTCCAGTGCTATACCCATCCGCTCTCCATTGAAAGTACTCAACCATTCCAGAGTAAAAATAGAGGTATAGGAAACTTCTGGAATCACAACTTCCTCTACATTATGCTTGTCTTTTGCCAAATATTTCAGTACAATCCGTGGAGACTTCTTCAGATAGGGGACCACCTGCAGGTAGAAGTCACCAGGCTTCAAGATTCGCCAGTCAATGGAAGCCAGCTGGACTACAATCTTCTCATGAATACACAGGGGCCAGCCCTCATGGCGAAACAGCAAGCCACAGTACTGCACCTAGGGAGAAAAGAGAAAGTGTTTTCAGCATCAGGAATAGAGCTCAGCTCAAGCTTTTGGATAAGAAAGATCAATGCTTCTCTTTCACAGCTGTAGCAATAGAACAGTTGAATTTAGGGTCTTTCGTTATTAGTGTAGGGGAGCCTTTCACACTGAGGTCTTCTCTTTAAAAAGCAGAAATGAGAAAAGCTACCAACACAAATCATCAGTATCTCAGAATCTGAATATGAACCAATGAGCTGCCAGAAGTCTCAGCCCTGTTTTAAAGCTGGGTCAGCACCGACAGGCAGATGTCTAAGCCCCAGAACCCCAGTGAGTTCTCACCTCCCAGGGCTCAAGCCAGGAGACCCTGTCTCTACCTCATTTCTGACTCATTAGGACTGACTGGACTGATCAAGAAAGTAAAAATTCAGACCATACAGCATCCCTATCCAAGTGCCATCAGGGAAGGGCAGGCAGACAGCAGTCTGCTTACAACACACAGACAAAACCCACTGTCCTCAACTAAAGATCATCCACAGCCTTAATAGAGCAGGTGGCAAATAATACATATCATTTCCAGGGCATCCACGGTGAGCTCTAGGTTGTACCGGGTGCACCCAATACCAACCTGCCAGAAGGAGGCTGTAGATGCAGAAAGCTCATTGCACAGGATGCCGCCAGTCAGCCTGGCACTACAAAGTGTCTTTTCTCTGATGAGGCAGTGTTGGGTCTTCAGACTGAAGTCTGCTGGAAGGGAGGTAATGAAAAGCTTTGCTGATGAGGGAAGGCGGAATGAAAATGCCAAGGTATGTCTGAGGACTTGGTTTTTTCCCTAACATGCTTTGCTGAAGTATTGAGCATGTTCCACCTAATTTTCATTAAACCAAATTGAAGAGCATGCAGCCAGGCAAAAAGCATCACTCATCTGGTGCCATTAAGAGCCTATGCATGACAGGTGGAGACAAGTTACATGAGATGCAGCAGCAAGAGATGGCTGCAACTGACCAGTCAACAGGAGGAGATACTGGGAAGACAAAGCAGGAGAAAGAAGGCAGCAAACGAGGAAAGCATAGCAGAACTACAGAGAAAGAAAGCAAGTCCCATCAGCAAGCTGACAGGAACAACACTTAACATACCAGAGATTTCCTTGTTCCCAAAATGCAGCAGCACTCGGGACAAGTCTCAGACAAATCCCAATCAAATAAAAGAAGTGAAGTTTCATGGCTGAACTGACTTGACTCAATTATTTACAGCTTTATCACCACTTCAAAAAAATAAAAATCACTGCTTTGAACTTGCTTCTGCTTGGGTAAAGTAAGATTTAAATTGAGCCATGACATAAGCCATTGGTTTCATGACTAATTTCATCTTTCTCTGTCAGGACAAGGGTTAGGTAGGATTCACCTGTATCAGATGCAATACTTAAATTAGAAAGCTGTCATCTGGAAGCCCAAAGACTTTACTATTGGCAGCATTAGACTGCAGACATTTTACCATGTTTTTCTTACATGGTCACATGGAAGTCTTGACAGAGAAAGCAATTTATAAAAACGCTGTATTCTGCAGGCGAGACGGATGGAAGAAGAAAATACTTTAATTCAAATATTTTGCCATATAGCTGAGAAAACACAGAATTGGAAGGAACCTCCTGGATCCTCACACACCTCAAAACAACAGGTAATGGCATCAAGTAATTTCTTTCCAATGGTCACCAAGCTCTACCTTCAGTCCAGGCAGGTTTCTCACCTTCACTGCACCTGATGCAAAGTTGCTCAAAGGCTTGGAAGCCCAAATCCTCCTTCAGATTCAGTAATTCCTCCTCCTCAACCCTGGAGCCTATTCTCTGGATGTGTTCCCATTGCTTAAAATTATTAAGCCATGTCACATCACCTTAGCACATCTCCCTTGATAATCTCATAGGCCTGCCTGAAGCACCTCCTTAGTGATGCTTTTTTATTTTCAAAAATAACACATTTCTTTGTTGTACTTTTACATTGTGCTAAGCATTGCAAAACACTACATATAATGGCACCAACACTTCCCAACTGTGCTAGAAGCATCCCTTAAAGCTAAGCTAACACTTCTCTTCCAGTCATGCCCCTACAGTAATCCAGTCACCTTCTAGTTTTTCTTTCCAAACTGCAGAACCCTAGTTCACAACAGAAATTCTGCCTATTAATTTGTGGAGGCACATGCTTGTCCTCCGCATCTACCGTTATAAAAACTTAAGTACAAAGTTTTAGAGCTCATCTTGTGCAATACATTTATCACCCTTCTCCTTGAGGTTACTGCTCATGTCTCTCAGATTGGTTTCATCACAAATCTCTCTCATATGCATATTCTTACTTTTTATGCCAAGGTCATGCATGTGTGTCTTGCGACTCCTGTCTCCAACTCAGTTTCCACTGCAGTACAAACACCGTCCCTTTCACCAGTTTGTCACCCATCTTGCAATGGCTTGCACAAACCTCCATCCCTTTGACACAGTAATTAATTTTCCATATGACTCCATACTAAAACCTTTACAGAAGAGATTAAACAATCCAATTTTTTTCTCTCTAGACAGAGCTGGTTTATGAAAAAGGCTAGTCTTACGCTACCTGACATGAAGCAAACCACATGAAAAAATGTTATCCAGTTTTTAATGGGTCAGTTCATTCAGTCCTTGCTCAGTGCATGTTGTTGTACACTCAGCTTGTTCTCTGTATTTTGTTACTATTCCTGACTTAACAGATTCAATAAAAATCCCTGCTATCAGACATTCAGCATTACATGGTAACTTCTTCCATATTCCAGGATGGAGACATGCCAGTCCCTTTTCCTTGACATAGTCAATCCTGTATCTATCTCAGTCATGGCAGTGTTATTTCTTTTCACTCAGTGCAACTGCCCTACTGTTGTGCCTACATGCTGTATCACTACTAAACTGAGTCTTACTTTAGTTTTCATTTTTTTGAAGGATCGTATTAACGTTACCTTTATATTCTAACCTTGGACTAAGAGCAGACCCACCTCCCTTTCTTTTCTCTTGAGTTTAAAAGCCCTATAAACTAACACAGTTACTCATACCTTCCTCAAAGGTAGTCTTATGTTCTTAGCTTTCTGGTCTCTAAGACACAGACGCCTCTACCAGCTAGTTCCTTACACAGCATAATTAAATTCAGCAAACCAAGACCTCCTATTGCAGCACACAGTTTGCAGAAGTTGCAACTGGCTTCAGCAAGTCTCAGGCTGTATGTACTTCACTGACTTTTCCACCAAGCTCAAGACTCACAAGCTGTGTTGACCAAGGTACCGTATATTTCTTACAGTAGGTGCCCAAGCCAAATATTTTGTTCACAAGGTTTTAAACAAAACCAGAAGAGATTATACCATTGCACCCTACACCAGACAACATCAACCCTTCTTCTGCCATTAGAATATTTCCTAGCAGGTACATTAAGGCCATCTGTTCCAAGTGCCTTTGGAGGGAAGAAGAGGCAGATAAAAAAAAATAAAAGATCAGTTTCTAAACTACTACAAATAGTTTATATGACTGAAAAGTGAGACACATCATCAGCAGTAGTGTAAACATAAAGCTGAATTCCATCCGCACCTACCTGACACAGAGTTTCTGTGAAAACCTGGATGCAGAGTAACCTATCTGGAGGCCATTCGTGTATTAAGAAATCCAAAACCAAACCTCACCACTTAGATGACCTGTCTGCCTACTGACAAGTGGAAAAAAACTCAGCAAAACACAGAAGGCATTGAAGTTCCTGAAAAACCCAAGAAAGACACAGTCTAGACTGCAGCAAGAGCTAGAGTAATGTCCAAGCAGGAATGTAAGTCCTTCAACAGGCTAAACATTTCAGAACTTTAGAAGTGGAGCATCCTCCTGCTGCTCCTGCTCCTAAAAGGCACCTTCAAAGGGAAGATTACGTGAAGAAGCTTATTTCAGTCAACATTTCACTTTGAGGCTCAAGTATGTGCTCTTCTCGTGTCCAATCACTACCGAGCCAAACCAGGCTTGCCTGAGGAGTGCCAGGAACAGACACAACACTCAGTGGTTGCAGCCAGGAATAAAGTTGCCTCTGAGAGAAGAGCTGGGCACCATCGACAAAGATGGCAGCTCCCAGAGCTATGGGGATGGCTGGGCTGGAACAGACCAACAGCCCATTTAGCTCAGGATGTCACTGGAAAGCCAGAAGCAAAACCTGGTTTCTTATTCTGTGCTGAGCAGAGACAGATCCTTGGCACAGCCCTCCACACACCCCTCTCCAGCCCCTGGGGGATCACATACAGGCTATTGATTTTAATACACCAAGCTGAAGCCTATGATCTTGTCAAATATTTCATGAAGCCACTTACACTTCTGTCACTGCAGAGGCTGAGAAAAAGATTTAGTGCACTCAAAAATTCCTACAGTAGCCATTCAGACAGGAGTTACTTTTTTTTCACCCCTTAGGAAAAGCTCACATGGACCAGCTGAACTACAAAACAAGGAGGAAACATTGCTTTTGTTTAGACTCTCTAAAAAGCAGACAAAACTCTTAAAGAGCAAGTAACAAGAAATACTCCTGTGACTTCAGACAGTGAAGACAAAAGAAGGGGCACACAGTGGAGGTTTGGGGAAGAGGAGTCCACAACAAATGAAAGAAAGAACTTTCAGCAATAAAAATTCAGACAAGCAGACTTCTGAATGAAATATGGAATAGCCTGGGCCCGCCTCTAAAGACAGTATAAGGTTCGTAGAGCTTCCCTTGAGCTCCCTGTATTGTCACTCTGGAAGTACAAAATCACAAGTTGGGGCCAGAAGGGGTCACAAGCAAGGAGGAAAGGCTCAGGACACCCAGCTGTGCCCTTTGAGAGGCCTGTGCCTGCACTCTGCCTCTTGCTGCCTGCTCTCCCTGACACGTCACAACTCAGCAAAAGACCCCAATAGCTAATGATGAGCCCTGGGCAGCCCCTCACTGGGGGTGGCTGCCCTACCACCCCTATCAGCCCTGCACCTTGTGGCTCCTGAGCCGGCCAGGGAGTTCCAGGCAGGCCCCGAGCCCTTCCCTATTCCTGGGCCTGTGACAGGAGGATGGATCCAAGCACAGCTCCTGCCCCTGCACCCCCTCCTCAAACAGTGCTGCATGTGTAGGACCATCATACTGGTTCACCCTCCAACAGGACACCTCAGCCACCACCAGCCCCCTTGCCTCTATGCCCCTCCAGGCCCATGCTCCAGACCAGCCTAGGGGGCTGCCAGCACCCTGAGCTCCTCCAGAGCCCACCACCCTCACACTTCACCTGCCTCGGGGCCCCCAGCACCCATCACCCTCACACCTCTCCCTCCTCAGGGCCCCCAGCACCCACCGCCCTCACACCTCTCCCACCTCAGGGCCCCCAGCACCCTCACACCTTCCTCCTCAGAGCTCCCAACACCACCGCCCTCACACCTCTCCCGCCTCAGGGCCCCCAACACCACCACCCTCACACCTCTCCCGCCTCTGGGCCCCCAGCACTCACCGCCCTCACACCTCTCCCGCCTCAGGTTCCACAGCCTCAACGGCACGTCCCCACCCCCCCCACCCCCGCTCCAACAGACTCCAGCTCAGCCAAAGCCACCATGCCCATCAAGGCAGGCCCATGCTCCCATTGGCTGCCGCAGCCGCAGCTGTCCTCCCATTGGCTGCCAGGCAGCGCAAGGCCCTCCCTGCCACCTCACCCCTGCCCTGGGGCAGCCATGGCCTGTGGGGGCTGTGTGGCTGCCCAGGGAGGGTCGGACCCCCCCTCACCGCCCTGCAGACCCCCGCCCTGGCACCCTTCCTGCAGGTCACCTTCTCACCGCCCCGAACACCTCCCCTTTGGGAGAGCAGCATTTGGGGCCCCGCTTCCCTGCGCCACAGGGGCAGAGGACCTCCAGCCAGCAGCAGGCTCCGTGCACGAGCCAGGCTGCTTCCCTTCCCCTCCTTTCCCTTCCCTTCCCTCACCTGCCCAGGGCACCGCCGGGCACTTGGAAGCTGCCGAGAGCTCAGGGAGTGGGGAAATTGCTACCTTGCCTTCTTCAGTAAGGAAGGCGGTTTTGGGAAAAGCCGTGAAACATCTTGCGATAATTACCAGTTCATACAAGCTAAAAGCCTTTTGTTTCTTTAAAGGGGAAAAACCACGCGATGCACCACTGAATTAGAAACTAGAGATACCAATGGAATAATTCCTATTCGAGTGTTTAGGGCGAGAGAGAGCAGCTCCCCAAAGTCTACGCATAACCTTGGTTCTTCCCGGGCTCACGAAGACACGGCTGGCACCAAGCTGAAACCTGGTGACAACGCGGTGGAACAAACACTCCACCAAAACACTCGCAAGGTGACCAGCTCCCAGGGGTTGTTACGTGGATCCATCCTATGCGATGGGTCTTTTCCCCCCAGCATTTTCCCTCCTTGAGACAAATGAGAAACTGCCTATTTCAGCTTCTATTTAACATTTTTCCTCCTCCCAGAAGCCCCTAGCCCTCCACTACGAGGACTTTTATCGAAAGTCTGGCCACACACCCCCTCTAGGTTCAGAGACAAAAAAGGCTAGAACAAACCCTAGTTTAGGTTGTTGGGGTGTTTTGTTTTTTGTTTTTTTTTTTTTTTTCATCTTGCAGACTACGAGCCAAGTTTGTGATGGAGGCATTTGACTCATCGTTTCTAACATTTTAGACTCCCAACAGTAAAGCACGTTAATCTTGGACTCGTTCTGGCAGAAAATGTAACGTGACTCCTCGGGGCTACTGAGCCTTGCGACTGTTCCAGCAACCATCAAAGGGGAGCTGGAGTTCTGGGAAAAACACTGACTGGCAGCATTTTGCCCCACACGTCCTCCTGCCAGCGGCGGGAGCCCAACAGCTTCATCCACAGGGCCAGGGAGCGGCTGGGGTTAGAAGCCACCCGAGTCAGATATATCCAGCAAACGCTTCTCTAAACCTCTTCCTCTGAATCCCTTAAGCCTTCTGTTTGGTGTTCCTGGTTATGGAAGGTGAAGGCACAGCTGCATAGCTGATCTCTGCACGGTTAAGCTTCAATAACAATTTTTCAACTGTTTCCTGATTGTCTGCCTGCCCTCCCACCTAGGCTGCCATACACTTGGCAAGCACTTTTTGCCAGCCATTTTACATACGAGAGGAGAAGAAAAGCTCTCCAAGAAAGCCTTCGCAGGCCTTAGAGAGCATGATGTACTCACACAGGCATCCTGCTGAATGCACTGCAGGATGTGCTTGGCTGGAATCAGGAAGTCTATGAGGTAGCGCAGTCCATCCCCACGGTACGTCTTCTCCACCACATCAAAAACTTGGCACAGAACAGTGGCTGCGGTAGCCTCAAACGGAGGGTAGAGTGCTGATAACGTACTCTGAATGCAACCGTCCAGCGACTCCGAGTCCTGCCAAGAGAGAAAGCGTTAGTGGTACCACAGCACGCTACGCCCCGGCGCCCTGATGAGCCCTACACCCAGGAGCGCAGCCACCTCCAAATGCAGGAGGAGGGAAGATCAAAGGAGCAAACTGCTCTCCTTTCTAGCTTCTTTTGGCACCGGCGATTCCAGGTAAACACAAAAAAAAAGCGCTCCCAAAACGCCAGTGGAGTGCTCGCAGAGTGCTGTGCACAGCGGCGAGATTCCCCAGCTTTTGCTTACGCAGCAAGTCCTTCTCCTGACTGCGCTGGGTGGGGCTGCTATTAAACCATTACCGCAGCACGTGAGTGCGTGCGAGCGAGCGAGAGTATCATGGGGTGGACAGCTCGGCAGGCCCCGTGGTTCCGATACTCGGGGCTGGAGATGCCGGCCAGCGCTTGGGTACATTAAAGCCCAGTGTCACGCTCCTCTGGGCTAAGGGGAGTTGCAGGGACTACAGTGGGACAGAAGCTCCTCAGCCTGCTGTGCTCTGAAATCCCTGCACAGGATAAGCCGCCGGAGCTGTTTGGTACTGGGGAAAGCTGCTCACCAGTGCAATTCCTCATTATTGAAAGCTGTTTGCCTCTGATGAAAGGCTCACTCTGGGAACCAGGGATTTTCCGCAGCGAGAGATGCCTCACAACAGGATCCGCAGACTGCGTGTGAACAGGGTGGCCTTTGGTGCCTGAGAACGCGCGTCGATACGTTGGATGCCCGTTTCCTGCCTGGGGATCGGAGGTGATGGCTTCCCTATTTCCACCTTCATTCGGGGGAGCCTGCCAGCCAGAGCCTGCCCACAGCGTCAGGACCAATTCCAGTGCTAGAGGCCAAATTCTGATCTGCCACATGGGTGTAAATCAAGAGGGCTTGCCAAAAATATAATAATAAAAAAAAAAATCTGTACACATCTGGAGAGAGGATCAGGATCGCTCCTTTCTTTCTATTTTAGAAGGGACCCCTCTGGCTAACTTACAGCCAGTGGGAGTGAGTTTTGCTACAAAACCAAATGAAAGTTTACTCAGGTGTCTGGCCAGATCCTCATCTAATCTAAATCCACCTCCCTTCACTAGAGACAAGAAAAGCATTTCAGCCGCTGGCCCAGAAGTCCGACAGCCTGCTGCAGAACAGGAACAGCTGCATGGACATGCCTGAAAACATACCTCAGTCCCACAGCAAGATCGGGAGAGAAACTTAAACAAAGCTGTGCCACAACAGCTTACACCGCCACCGGGGAACAGTAGGATGAAGGGATCAGAAGGAAGCAAACCATTTCAACTCTTGCACTCCAAGGAAGCACATATTAATGGCTCCAAATACCTCCACTGGCTGGAGAAAATGCAACAGTCTCAAAGCGAGCCTGAACCAACCTGCAGCCAGAGCAGAGATGATGCTCCTCACACAAGCCTTCCCATCTCTTGCAGCTCAACGGTCTTTAAATTCCTCCCTCAGAGGGCTGGGTGCTTTAAGCACACTATAAGCTCTCTGCTCTGTTGTAAAGCCTTCTTGTAGGACAGCCTGGGGGATTGCACAGGAGAGATGAGGACGCCTAGGCAATGTCTCCACAATCCCTGCCTGCACCCAGCTGGCAGAACGTGGGTGACAAGCAAACCACACGCTGCCTGTGGCATGGCACTGCTTCATTACTTTTTCTGCTGTTTTTCCTGATGTCAGCAACAAGCTAGGCTAAACAGCAGCAGGCTCCTAAAGTGTTTGCAACTCTTCTGAGAGACCAGCTGCCTCCTGCAATGCCCCTCAAGGTCAATGCAACCAGATAAAAAGCGGTTGAGGAGCTATTTTTCATATTCTTAACCCAAGGACTCAAAAAGCAGGAGGTCTATATGCATACTCCCAAGCGTTGAATGGTAGGACCAAGCATTTAACCCCAGTCCTAAATGGGAGGGGAAGGCTGTTTTAAACAAGCTTCTTTCCACTCAAAAAAGAACAATATAAAACCACAACTTTTACTCCATTAATTGAAATTGAAAGCCTGGAAGTTCCCAGGCACTTCCTTCTCTGCAGGAACAGGTCTTCAGGGAAAGTCTTCCACTAGGTACTGCAGAGGTCAAGAGAAAACATCCCCCGTAGGGCCCAAGGGGAGAACTCATTAGATTTTGGGAAATATAGGAGAAAGCAGACCAATAGGAACTGTGAGATGAGTTGTACAGACCCAAGAAGACAGCCTAAACAAGAAATGTTCCCTTTACATGGTATTCTGGACCTGCTAAAAAAGGCATGGAGGAGGCTGTAGGGTAGGGAACTGGGTACCAAGCCCAACACAAAGCCTCTTACAATTGGACATATTAAAAATATTGCTAACTATTGATATAGCACACTGAACATCGTTGTTCTCGCACACTCTTGTGAAATGACAGAGGCCAAGAGCAGCCAGGTGAAGGTGAGCACAGCTCCAGTAATCTCTGCTGACAGCAACCTGTCCCAGCGTCTGTGCCCTGGTCAGATTAAACTGGCCTTGACAGGTCCTCTCCCAGCTGGCACCAGCCATGAGCTTGGGCAGTATCACAGTAGCATTACTGCTGGTAGCATTTGACAACAATGTCCCTCCGACCCTCCACAGGTTCAAAATGTTAGTCAAAACCACCTGGGGGCTGGTTCTGTGCCATTTTCTGTCCCTGTATCCTTCTTGAGCAAAATTATTTCAGATATTAATATCCCCCCCCCCCCAAAAAAAATGTTATGTTTATTATTGCAAACAAAACAAAGAAGTCAAAATATTTGCACATGAGTCAGTGCATCAGCCTAAGGTTCTCACACCATTCCTGCTGCCTTAGCAAAGCGTTCACAAGATAATTATTAACATTGGCACCAAATCAAAAATCCTTTATATGGTTAAAATAAACCAAGTCATGTATTATCCTTCCTTTAGTAAAATACAGAATAACCATAGCCTGTAGCTGTTGCAGAGTTTAGTGTTAACACTGCACTCCTTAGCACAGAGGCTTTCTCTCTGGCTAGGCTATAACATGAAGCCATGATAGCTGTGCAGGCTTTGAAGGGACAGGGAGGTTTCAACCCCTACCATGTGGTAGAAAGAGGAGACATTTTCACCAATCTCTGCTAATTCCACATGAAAAACCCCCAACGTGGGAGCAAAGTCATACATCCCATCGTGCTGCACGCGGCTGTGCCACCAGCATTTTGGGGCAGCTACAGAACAAGGATGGCTGCAGATGCAAACGGAGGCAACAGTGCTTTTCAGTGCTCCCACCCACCCAGGGTGGTCTCTCAGGGATGGGTCCTGCCCGGGCGGAGGCTGAAGCATGGCAGAGTCTTCGGGGCAGCTCAGGAGCCACCTCGAAACGTGGACAGTGACACATGGTAGATCTTAGAGACTGCAACAGCAGCAGATTTGACTCCGATCATGGTCTCGTTAAACCAACTCACAATCCTAGGGATGAGACTGCTTATTTGTACTAATTAACTTCTCAGATTGCAGAGTGGCCTGAGGAAAGGGCCTCAACAAGGCCTGCAAGAGGCCACATGGTCTTGTTTAGTGCTGGAGCATACATGGCCAGCCTCACACATCTTGCTTGTGGGCAGCGCCTGCTACCACAGGCGTGGAGGAGCCATGGGTTGGAGGCACGGGGAACCCGTGCAAACCAGCTCGAGACAGCAAGAGGAGGAGATATCATCCTGCACTCCAGAGGCTGTAAACCTGAAGTCTAGAGCCCATCCTACCTATAAACCACATCCCTTCTCTCAAGCAAGGCGATGCAACCCCCAGCAGGCACGAGGAGAAACCCCGCGACTCAGGATGAGGGAACAGCGCCCAGAGAGGAGAACAAGCAAAACCCAGCAAGGATCCAAGGAGAAAGCACTCCTGCCCTGGCACACTCCCGCTTCAGCCAGCCCACAGCAGACCCCGAGAGATGGCAGAGCTCAGCCCAGAAGCATCCTGGAGACAGCAGCCTCCTCCAGGGCTGCAAATTTCAGGCTTCCCTGCCTCCAACGGTATTGCCTCATCCCCTCATGGGAAAGGTCCCAGACACTTGCTCCTTTTAGGCCACCCAGCACAAACACTAACAGGAGCGTTTTCCAAGCAAGCCAGGGACCATCTCCCCAAACAAAAGGTGTCTTGGAACTCAAGTGCTTCTTTGTCAATAGCATGGGAGAACCTATGAACTCCAGCTCACTGCCACCAATCCACCACATGCTCACCACACCTCCCAAAAGAGAAACATGCTTTTAAAATAACTCCTATAAATCAAGGCGCTAAATAAAGCCCAGGTTAAGGTCATGTCCGGCCATACAGGCTTTCACTGCTCCTCAGCTGGGAGCTGGCTGCTGCTTCAGGGGCTGGAGCACAGCGAGGGCAGAGGAAAGCAGCATGTAGGGAAGGGATGGGCTCCATGGGCAGAGCAGTGTGGTGGGAACAACCGAGCACGGTCCCACCTGAGATGGCAGGGGAGCAGGGAGAGCCCTGGGGGCTTCACAGCTGGCAGAGGGCTTGGGTCTGAACAAGGGCAGAAACGAGTAGGCTGGGGTGTGCTGCCCTCCCTCTCCTGTGCATAAGGGGAGCCACAGTTGCTGTGAAATGAACAGAGCAATAAAGACTGTTGTGTCAAAGCTCTGCTGCTCAGCCCTAAGAGCCCCTTCTCCCCATCACAAAGTGCAGCAAGAACCAGGAGTCAGGGAGGGATGAGGTTACAAGTGCCTGAGCAGAAGCCTCAAGCCAGGACTAGCAAGCAGGCAGCAGGAAAAAGAGCCTGGGATCAGTTACAGCCCTGCTCAGGGGACATTTCTACCTCCTGTGGTGCAAGCAGCCGCTGCAGGATAGGAGAGGAGCCTGCCAAGAGGCATCTGGAGTAACCAGGAGCTTCTTGGGCTTTTCTAGGTGCACTAGTTGAATCTTCTGCCTACCTCTGTGGGCACAGAAAGAGCTATATAGCAGCTCCAGCCACTGGGAACTCCTGTCGTGCTACATTTCTTTCTGACTCAGGACTCAACTTCTTCCTCTTTGGGACCTGCTGCTC